AGCGCAGGTCTATGCCGCCATCAGCTGCTGTTGCAAGGCCTTCCATTGGCAGCAAGCGCTGATGCTGGCTGTCCTTCTGGAGATGCTGCGCGACTGGGACAGCCGCTTTTTTGTCGCCCTTTTTGGTGTTTGGACAATCCTGCTGACTGTCAACACGTCCTTTGCATGCCGGGACAAGATTGCTCATACGTGCAGGGTTTGGTGGAGGGCGGACTGGTAGCACTAGGTGGAAGCGTCGCCAGGCACAAAGGCCTGAAAACAGGAAGCATGAGGCACATCTACTGCTCCATGTTTGCAATTTGGTTGCCACAAGGCTTGGGCCACAGTTTCCGGAGTCTGCACCACAGCCGAGGTACTGCAGCAGATGTGGTCGTGTACAATTCCGTCATCAGTGCCTGTGGCAAAAGCACCGAGTGGCAACGGAGTCTGCAGTACTTGGCGGAGCTTGCGCAGCTCTCTTTGCAGGTGGGACATCAGTGGAAAGAGGTTCCAAGTGGCGCTTTGAAATATTTGCAGCTACCAGAATGGATTGAGGCACTGTCAAGCGGAAGCTTGATGGGACAGATATGTCAGACATTTTTTGTGATATCTGAAACACGAAGCTTGAGCTGATGCTTCAGGGATCTACTGAGGCGTGCCGAGGCCTGTCCAGTCTGCGCTTGCACGCATGTTCTCGCCCGTGGCTTCGGTCTTGAGCTCTTCGCTTGAGACTTTGTTCCTGCCGCCCCCCCTTCCCCCCCCCCTCGGCCCCCGTGCGTTAGTGGCAATTCTCTGCTTCGCTGGGGCAAGCTCCTTCTGTTTCCTTTTGGTGGCGTTTCCAGGCCCTGAACAGTTGTCTCCCAGCCATGTAGATTGGGGTTGAATCGCCTGAGGCAAAGAGGATGTTACAGAAGAGTCATTTGATTTCCAAGCTCATTGAGCGCCCGCCAGGGCACCCTCCAAAATCCGCTTGTCCAAGACCTTGACCTTGGGGGGATGGTTACTGTACGGTTTCAAGGGGGTATTCCGGTATTCCTCACGGTCAACAAGCTGTCTCCCTCAGCTTGGGCCAGAGGCTCCAAACGCAAACAGGCCAACACAAGCTACTGTTGGTTTGGGGAGAACAGGTCGGTGCCAGTCGGTGCACCCAAGTTTCTCATGCCCTGCGGTTATAATTTCTGGGGTTCTCACGAGCCATGCAGTCAAGCAGCGAGAACGCAAGAATCATTGAACGGTGGTTGAACACAGGCTGAACAATGGGCAGAGGCCAATATCTGTTCAGCCTTGCAGTCATCATGTCCGTTTGCAAGGCCACAGTTGTGACCTACAGCTCAGCCATCAGCGCCTGCGAAAGAAGCCAGCGCTGGACGTTGTCTCTGTCCCTCTTGGCTGAACTGGAGGCCTGAGTTGAGGTACAGCAGTGCCAGGGCTGTTAGCTCATGTCTTTCGAGGACGCGTGCTTTGAAAGGATGGCAGCACGTATGCATGGCCTTGTTTCAGGAAGGTCACAATCTCATGCTGTGAGCGTCGCATCTCGAGTCGGTACACGGTTGTATATGTTGCATCTCCAGGCGAACGACATTGCAGGAAATGTCATTACCCACAACGCCGTCATCAACGCTTGCGGCAAGGGTCAGCAGTGGCAACAAGCACTACAATTGATGGCAACACTTCCGCAGAGAAAGCTCCAAGCCAACGTGGTGAGCTACAGCTCTGCAACTTGCCTGAAGTCCCCTGTTGCAATTGATTTTCGAGGGCATTGTGTGGCCTTGCATTCTTCCCACGCCGAAGTATTGTCAATCTGGAATTCAGCAGCAAGCACGTATACTGGTTCGTGCGAATCTGAAGTATCACCTTGCTTGGATTGAGGCCATCAACGCGTGCGAGCATGGGCAGAGTTGGGAGCAGGCGCTGAACCTACTTGCGGACTTTCGCCGGTGCCGTTTTCAAGGCAAGCACCACGTTCAGTGCAGAGGGTGTTTTCAGAAAACAGCATGCGTGATACAGATATAGCCCTTCAGTTCGATGAATTATTTGGTCGATGCAGAGTAAAAACTGCATGGAAGGTAACGCGTGTGATACATGCATGTTGTAATATTTGCTTGAATACACAGCACGTGGGACATATACAGAAAACATGCCGAAGGGTTTTACTTGTGCCCCCAATCGCTGGGTGACCCTCAGCCTGAGAATTATGCCCAAGAAGCAAGGAGTTCACACCGAGCTTGCCTCGGTGTTTGAGTCAGATTCAAGGCGAGAGGAAGTCGTCCAGAAGTGTTTGCCGCAAGGCAATGCGTTTGTGTGCAATGCTGCAATCAGCGCCTGCAAAGCTGGACAGTGGCAACGTGCAATTCAGCTCCTCCGAGAGATGCAGGCGGGCGTGAACTGGCCAAGGTCAATCTTTGGAGAGGCATGCGTGTTGGCCGAGTCAGCTCAGCAAGACGGCCCTCGCTTGAATCTGCACACTTGTTTCCGAATGCATCTGACATATGTTGATAGACCATCAATGTGTTGTGGCACCCACAAGCATGCAGCAGTGTTTCTGCGCGGAGTTGTGCATTGGCTGACGTGCTCTCACACTCCATATTTCTTTGTCAGAATGCCAGGCTGAAAGCTTGAGTGACGTCATCTCTTACAGCGCGGCCATCAGTGCCTGCAACCACTGGCAGGCAGCCCTGCAGCTGATCTCGGAACTCGAGGAGTGCTTTTCCCAACAGATCCCAAAAGCATCTCTGGCGCTTGGGTTTTTGTTTAGAATGCTAAGGGAAGTGGGGAGCGATATTTTTTCGGCTCGGAGCGGTGGTCGAAGATTTGGGGTGGAGCGATGCTGGCGAGATGCGGTGGATTGACGGATTTGGGTGGGAGCGACCCTGTGGGGATGCAGCAGGGTGCTGGGGAGACGCAGAGGGCGCACAGATCCGCGGAGAGGAGGGATGCTCGGCGGCGCTAACCACAAGCCGCAAAAGCAGCTTCAATAGGCGCGCGGGTGCGCGTGGCGCAGTGGCTGCATGGTCAGGGTAGTGCGCAGGCGGAGGGGAGGCGGAGCGCTGCTGTTTTGATCCAGAAACGGCTCTGACGCGGCGGGGGAAGCAGGAGGTGGACGATACTGGGCAGCTTTGCTCGCAAGACTCAGCGGGCGGACGGGATTGATGCTGGGGAGGCAGCGGGTTCGGGGCGGAGCGATGTTTGGGAGCCCACTAGGCGGGCGGATTGTCCCATCGGACATGGCGCGTACTTGGATGGGGTTGCCTTTGGGTTCCCGGGGTGAACTTGTTTCGCGGGAACACTTGAGGTGAGTTCACTATGGTGTTTCAACTGGCATGCAAGACATGGCTGTGCATCAAAGGTTGGCATTCAAGATCCACAGATTTGCCGTGCAGTGGCACTTGATGGTTGACTTTTCTTTCTCGGCCAGGAGCAACGCCTGCAGGGCAATGCCATCACCTACAGCGCTGTCATCAGTGCCTTGGGTCAGGGTCAGGAGTGGCTTCAGGCCCTAGAGGTGTTGGCCAGCTGTGGCCGACTGAAGGACCTCGTCACCTACAACGCAGCGATCAGCTCCTGCCGTGAGCGATGGTCGTGGGCGTTGCATTTGCTCGCTGAGTTGCACGCTAGAAGCTTGCGAGCCAATGCCATCACATACAACGCGGTTTTGAGTGCCTGTGAGAAGGGAGGTCGCTGGCAGCACGCGCTGTTGGTGTTGCAGCACATGGTTGAGAACGAAGCCCAAGAGGATCTGATCACGTACAACTCAGCCATCAGTGCGTGCGAGAAAGGCGAACATTGGCAGCAGGCCTTGTTCCTGCTAGACAGATTGCATCAGAGGCGATTCCAGGCGGATTTGATCACCTTCAACTCTGCAATTAGTGCTTGCGAGAAGGGCGGCCAGTGGCAGAGAGCGCTGCACTTGCTGCGCCATATTTGCAAGGACTTGCAAGGTGACGTCATCATGTACAGTTCGGCTATCAGTGCCTGCGAGAAAGGCGGGCGCTGGGAGCGGGCGCTCGGGCTTCTTCAGGAGCTGCAAAGCGATCATTTGGAAGGCAATGTGGTGGCCTACAGCTCTGCAATCAGCGCCTGTGACAAGGGCGCCCAGTGGCAGCATGCGCTAGCTTTGCTCACTGAAATTCAGGGTAAGCGCGTAGAAGAAGATGTAATTGCCTACAATGCTGCCATCAGCGCCTGCGACAAGGGGCAGAGGGCCCTCTTCCTGCTACAGGAGCTGGAACAGAAACAATTGCAAGGAAATCTGGTCACATACAATGCTGCCATCAGTGCATGCGAGGAGGAGCACTGGCAGGAGGCAATACAACTGCTAGTGGAGCTGCGGAGGAAGGACCTACAAGAAGATCTGATTAGTTATAACGCTGCGATCAGCGCGTGCGAAAAAGCCGCCCAGTGGCAGCAAGCTTTGAGGCTCATGGTGGAGCTAGAAGAGAGGCAGCTTCAAGGGGATGTGACTTGGCCCCATGTCACATTATTTACCTTGCATCATTCCTAGCCAGCGCATGTTTATATATATTTTGCCAAGGTCATTACTTACAATGGCGTCATCACTGCCTGTGTCAGGGAGAGGTTTAGCCAACTGGCTTTAGATTTGGTCTCCACGCTGCGAGCGCAGCAGCTGCAGCCAGACGTGATCACCGATGACCTGACAATTCGTGCATGCGTTTTTGACGGTCAGTGGCCACCGGCACTGCCCGTCTTTGCCCACATGGCAAACAGGTACTTGGTGTACCTCGAGCAGATCAAGAATGGGAAAAATGAGACCCGGACTTCTGTGACGATCTTGTTCTCTGTACCTGACATCTTTTCACTTGCCTCAAACTGTTTGCGGGCATAGTTCCCCGGTTGCAACTTGCGTGCCCATTTCCGACCTATCAGGCCGAACCTTTGCGGACACCTCAAGCATTCAAACAAATCTATATATCTAAACAAAAATCCACTCGAAGAAAAGACCAATCAACTCCTGCTTGACCGAGAACGGCCAATGACCAGTGCGACCCTGTGCATCCTGTGAGGATGTGGAAGCCTTGGCGGAGAAGGCTATCAAAGCATAGGCCGAATACGGGCTTGGAATGTGCTGAACGGTAGACATCGCGATGAGTCCTGTGGGTTTTGAGCAATACGAAACCGCCGTTTAGCAAACGGACATGATTGAATCCGCCAGATCAATGATAGCATTGCTGCTATTCGGATGTGTTGGCAGATATTATCGCAGAGCTCTCGTTGACTTATGCAGCACAATCGAGCCTTGACTTCTTTGTGTCGCACACACACTCAACACTTGATTCGCTTGACCAACTTATTTTGCAACACAAAGGAGTTCTTATCAGAAAGAGACAGCAGTCATGAACCACTTCGTACTTGCATGTTGCTAGCTATAGCAAGCATTGGCACGGGCTGTTCTCATTCCCCCATTGCGAGCCACACAACCTGTGATTTCAATGGCTCCATTACATGCAAGATGCCAGCGCCCTCTTCAGATTACTCCCAATGGATGTAACAGCGTCATTTCCTGCTGCCTGTTGTAGCATATCATCTTGCAGCAGAAGCTGTTCTTAACTCAGAATGCCCACAATGAGCCGACTATTTCCAATCAGGACCGACCTTGAGCTATTATGGCACACCTCAGGTGGAGTGTCGGCAGACCGGTAATTAGTGGCTTGATCTTGACACGCGAGGCTCTGTCGTCTGAGCTGAGCTTTGCCCGGACAGCGGCGCTTCTTGTCGTGCGCAAACCCTGAGTGGTGCGATGGATAGTTTGCTAGGGCAAGGTGGGCATGCAATCAACACACGACTGCGGAGTGAAGATGTGTAGGCACCCGGCGATGAGGAAAGTTTCTTTCTCACGGAAGACTTCTCCGCTTGATTGGATGTCCACCAATGCGCCCGTGTTCGTGGCGCAAAGCGCCGCGAAGCGGCTCCTGGACTCGATTGCTTCAGGTCATCGATTGGAATGGACAAAACACTGGCAATGGCGGGATTGAGTCCATGTCATGCCAGTAACGCCATCCAACTCAAAGAGCATGGCTTGCCGAGATGCTGTCATTGCCTGAGGCCCACGCCTGGGTTCGTGGCTTGGTTTATCCGCAGGCACGGCAACACGCAGAGGGGTGGAGTTGGTCAGGGGCGCACCCCTTGCAGATTCTGAGGCTGCATCGTGTGTTCATGTCAATGTGTTGTTGATTTGCCTGTGTTTGCACTTGTGAACCATTTTCGTGGTTCGCCTGCTGCGGATCCCTCTCTTTCGGGCTGGACAGTAAAATAAGCTGAGCCTGTCGTCAGATGCTATTCCCTACACGCCACACGCCATGTCGCCGTTCAAGCCTTTTTCCACATGATTTAGTTAACGGGGAAGTTTGTGCACCAAAAGCTCAGGGACAAGCTTGCAGGCTTGCCAACTACCCACAGAGGAAACTTGGAATTAGCGTGTTTTTTTCTGCAACACATTGGCGAGGCCAGGTTGGTGCCTAGCCTTGGCACTTGCCACGAATCCAGTTTTTCCACCCCACAAGCTAGAAGAAAACGTATGCCTTGCCCTTGTATCGCTTGCCGCTTGCGCCAGGCTCTGGCAGCAGTGCCGCAGGAGGGGCGGGTTGTGGATACGCGGTTGCCAACGACTTATCAAGATTCCTTTGTACAATTTGCTCATTCATTCTGTCAGACAGGTTGCTTCGTCCAGGCTGTCAATGCCAATTGTCGTGCTGTCAACCTGCCTGCACTCGCTAGTGTGCGAATGGAACACGTATTTGAAAGTTGTGCCTTTCAAATTCGAACTGCATAGATGAACAAGTGCCCTGACCGATTTTAGTTGGATCATTTTTGCGGAGCAAACACGATTTTCATAGTTTTCGGTGCCCGGCGAGAGAAAGATCGACGTGGAAACCCTCGTCACCTCGTTGACATTCGGAGATGTTTCCCTCTGACAGGCCAAGCCATCCGAAGCCAAGGTGCTTGGGTGCCGTCTGCAAGCCGCATGCAGTCGCTTTCAAACGAAGTGGTCCGGTGTGAGCCCTGGCATTTCCCCATGAAGGATTGCTGTTGGATGCAACTGCAGGAAGTGCTTTCAACATATTGCACGCCATCAACCAGCAACTAGAACAAGCCATAAGCTGGCCAGCTGCATGCGACATGTTGAAGACAATTCACTGCTGGTGCCAAACAAAGACCGGGTTTCTGACCTGTTCTCTGGTTGCCTGAATGTGAAGCGGAGCACTTGCTCCAAGCGCAGGTGCCGACACCTCCACGGGCGTCCCCGCGGCCGCAGCGCGAGGCAAGGGCAGCCCGTGAGAGCAACAGATCAGCTTGCAAGATGAAGTTACCGGCAGAATGCCAGGAAGTTCAGAATTTCGGACTGACTATTCTGAGCTCGAGCTAGTGCTTGAGACGGTTCAAGAACGAGAACGCATCATTGAGACGCAAGCCACCCTGATCAGAAGGCTCATGCCACTAGCCTGTGATCATGTTGCGGAAGGCGGCTCTTTAAATGTGTTGGAGTTGTGGTAACGAAGCTAGAGGGGTCGGGGTGCCCCAGCGCAAACACAAAGCGGCACCTCTTATTCAATCCTTTCGAAGTTTTTGACACCTTTTCGAGGCCAATGTCGGCCAGATGGAGGCAGGGGCTTCTTGACTTGAAGCATACGCTGTGTGCGTCAAAGGAGGTGTGTTGCATGGCTCTCGCAGAAGTTCCTAAAGTTGGCAGCCTCTGTCTGTGACTCTGTGAACGTGGGCGATTCCCTGTGGGATTCTTCAACTCAAAGACTTCCCGATTCCAGCTGCGCCGCAGGTAACACTTTCGGCACAGGTGGCTGAAGCAATTGCAGCCAGCCAGCGCCAACAGCCAAGGCCGGGATGTGTAGTATTGGTTGGCCCGACAACTCGCAATCCACAGAGGAAGCCAGCACAGGTGTGTATGTTGAAGCATAGGCATATTTTTTGGTTGCCAGTTTGTCCGCTTCTTGGGCTGTCTCGGACCTTGATTCGAACCTGTGATTAATTATTTAATGACAGTCTCATCCCTGCATGCTCTCATGTGGGCACAAGGCTGACAAGAGCATGCTGATGGCAGCTGGTTCACACCAATTTGAGGCTCTTCAGGTATTGAACAGGTTTGGTGCTGTTGTTTGATTGTTGTTGACAGAGAGGCTCAACCCTTTGAATTGATTTGAAGGTTGTGATAACCGGGGTGACAATTCTTGCACACAGCCAGCTGTCATTGCTGTGCATTTGACTCAAATTTCCCTCAGGGAACGCGAATTCATGCAGGTGCGCTCAGCGGCTGACGCCCAGAGGGACTTCGCCGCCACATGCGCAGGCGGGGCAAACGGCATACTGTGGCGCAAGTTTAATAATAGATCGGATAGGCGTATGTATTATGATGTACTTGTGCAATGTGTTGCATGGTAACAGGGCTGCAAGCTTAGGGAGACGGCTCGGAGCATCGCTTGCCAAGGTGGACAGAAACGTCGCGGTATTCCGCTCCAAGAGCGCAACAGTCGCGAGTGTGTCAGCCGCGGCCCCAGAGAATGGGCCGAAGGATTGGTGCTGGCCTTGTACGACATCCTTGCGCACGGGCCAGCCGTTGGCTTCAAGCTGAAGCAGGGTATTCCTGCTGGCTCCGTCACAGGCAACAAAGCCTCACGGTTTGATGTGCGTTTGTAGTTGCAAACGCTGCATGACGCTTTATTTATGCAATGCCACGCTCAGGAATGCCTTGAGAACAGCCCTCCTTGCCCATGTCTCACCTCAGAGATGTTGAAATTTGTAGCTGCGAACTCAAAATTATGAAGCAAAGCAGCTGCTGACAATACCCTTCCGCACGTCAAGTAACAAGATGTACAACCAATCTCAACTCTCAAAGGACTGAGGTGGGATGAGCAGCGCATGCAGACTCGGAACATGTGGTCAAGTGCCATGACTCAAGACCTGACACGGTGTTCATGAAACAAGTTTGATTCGTTCCGTGGCTGCCCAGGCGGTCAATTTCTAGTTCAAAAGTGGTTTCAACCGACAAAATCCAAGCAGTGTGGAGTAGTGATGGTTTTGCGATCCAGTGTATTCAATGAAAGAGCAGGACGCGTGCAACTTGCGGTAGAGACCTGCACGCCGCTTTGGCCAAGCGACCCGACTGGAAATATGTCCGCCTGTTGCCCATCGGGTCCATTGGCAGGCCGAGGATGCACCACAGGCCAAGGCCAGTCAGCGCGTGCCATCCATGCTATGTGGTCTGTCTTGTCTTTCACTGGCTAGCGGGGTGATTACTTGATCGTATGACCTATTCAACGCTCGAGAATTTGTACCTGTGATTTCCGTTGTTTGTAATTATTTCCATGAGGTGTGCGCCGTAGCAGCCAAGATGTCAACTCCAACCACGTCAAAGTGGCACTACCTTGACTTTAATGCGGGTCAGTGATTAATAAAGGACCCTCCAAACCGGTAAGACAATCTGGGGGTCAAATTGGCCTTTCCGAAGCTTGGTACTGGCTTAGTATGTATTGGTGTGTATTAGTTTGGTATTTGTTTAGTATCGGTTTTGTATTGGTTTGTGCCTTAGCACTAGCTTAGTATTGGTTTGTATTAGTTTTGTATTGGCATAGTGTTGCTTTGTGCTGCCTTTGCACTAGCTTACTAATTAGTCTAGTATTCGCTTAGTATTGCTTTGAGCTGCCTTAGCAGCTTAGGACTGGCTTAGTATTGGTTGGGACTCGTCTAGTATTGGCTTGGTATTGCTTTGTGCTGCCTTAGTACTGGCTTAGTGTTGGTTGTAGTAAGTATTAGCTTAGTATTTCTTGGTGTCGCCTTTCTTAGCGCTCAGAAGAAAGAATTGCTTGACAAGAGTTAAGACTGACGGGTCAGGTAACTCTTGAGCGCCCATCAAATAATTATTTTTGTAACGGATAGCATTTAGAATTGCATTCTCAAATTGCTTTTGTTGGGACAGGGCTTGCTGCTTTGCGTTTTGAAATGCACTTGTGTCTGTCAAACCTGCTGATAAGCATTTTCAAACTGCACGGTCGATCTTTTTGCTTAGCACCGGCGAGCGCGTTTGCTAATTGTT